TTTTTTTYTATTTTACTTTTGCTCTTTCCTTTGGTACGAACTKAAAGTTCACTGCAGCCAGCCATGGAGAGTTTAATGCGATAATACTGATTTTGAGTCAAAGTTAGGYGTAAGTTTCTGTTTTCACATGTCTTCAATACACTGTTTTCATAAATGTGGTGAACTTCATTCATACACCCCCGAGTCATTGGTCAAATTATGATACCAACTTGACCTCAAGTACAGTCCATAGTGCTGACAAGTAATCTTTACATTAMAAGACTCGTTGATCAATCTTCTGTTTTTAACATATTATTTTCCTAAAAGTAGCTGAACAGGGCGACAACGATAAATCATTTTAAACTATATATTCAGTTTTTCATATTTTCATTTAACGGGKGTAAAATCTCAAAGGAAAGTGTACATTAATCTACWGTAGTGCGCTGTCTTGACTGCGCCAATTGTCACACTTTTTGGTCGAAATTATCGGATATGAAAACATGACCGACACACCCACTTTAGAACAACACATTAACGGCTTCATRTAAACTGGGATAATTTGATTTCTTTGCAATTTKGTAAGTTTTTAGAGTCTTTGGTGCGAGACGACAGTCGCCATCTTAAACTTCTATGACCAGCTTCAGATCGACCAAASTGATAMATATATATAACCATGTTTTGCATGAAGCCCCGTATTGCATGATAAAAATAAACCTTTTGAATCAAGATGATAATAATCTTAATAATGAGACTACWGTTAATGTTGTTGTTGTTTTCGCTATCGTTYGCGTTACGACTGATTTATGAACTCGTTATGTGAAAACAATAACGAATATCAGAGCGATTCTAGGCATTTAATGTTTGACACATATTTTCTCGTTCTCTCTTTGATGTGATCTTGAGCTGCGACAAAATTCTGCTAATCAGTTCTYATTAAGAAATTTTCAGAGACAAAAACTGTGAATCAATTTTTTTCTTCCTTTTATTGCAGAGACAAGCTTTAATTTCCAACCGCTGGCTGGAGGTAAGTTTTGATGTCATTAGTGTATGCGAAATGTTGACTTCATAAAATGCTTCAAGATAATGAAGTTAATTCAAGCATTTCATAAAGAAGCCGTTAATAAAAAGAATGAAAAGACCCTCTCTTCTTTAATTAGTATTTGTAACCTCTAAAGCAATAAATTCCATGGTCTTTGTTGACCTTTCGTTTATTATTTCGCCAATTCACAATTACTTCTTTCAGAAAAAGTATTCACTTCAAGTAATCAATACTAAGACAAGAAATAAAGCCCAAACTTCAATAACTTGTTAAAAATCCACTCATAATCAAATTTGATTATAAGTTTAATAACTGTCATTTTTTTTCCTGTCTTGTGTTGCCTGATTATCGTATTTCTTCTTCGCCGCACCTTCGTACGCACTGCATTGTGCATCATTCTCCTGCACCTCGTTATTCTCACTAAAATGATAATTGTGTATTCSCTTTAACCAGACAAACCATCTCAAACACAAGACTTTGGACAAAGACAAAGATCGTCGTCATGTTCAGCGAAAATGGTGAGATATATTGTTTGTTCTCGATTTTTTCCATCACTCAAAACAGGGAACATTCCTTCGTTTCAATAACTGAAAGTTTTGCATTAGAAATTGAAGTTCGGACTACTTCTATCATTCTTATGTTTTTTTAGAATATAAACATTTTATATTTTCGAGGTATTTCTGTATGGTTAACGCAAATCCCACGTCTGTTTCCTTCATGTTTGCTAACAAGAATTGTCCAGCTTTTCCCGGGGAATTGGAAGATCGTGGGATTATTTTTTCCTAGTGCTGTCCTGTTTTTTAGCTTCATTTTAATATATTCTAAACCTTTTATTTTCTTTTCATTAAGAGTGMAATTTTGTTCAAACAAACAATAACATAACGGGCAGGTAGTGAATAACATCTCACTTTAATAACAAACAATTCATTTAAAATGTAATATTCACTATACACTGCTCACTTGAATAATGACATCAATAAAGTTTGTCATATTTTTGCTGGATTGTTTATTCTGGTTTCCTTTCTTCTTTTTTCTTTAAATACTAAATTTTTTAAATTCATTGTTTTTAACATCCATTACACTATCTTACATACAATATATAAATTCTACAAGGCACAAACAATAGTATATTATGAATATCGTGCATACATACACATGACACACACACAAAAAGCGCATTTTATCCAAGTAAACATAACAGATCTATGATGCTTTTTTGCTTTTCTGTACTTTCTATGGTTTCTTTTCATTACATCAAGTTTGTTTTTATTTCTCATCTGATTGCCTGTGACAGTCATTTAAAAAGATAAATTTAACACCGTAAAAAAGTAGGTGAAATAACTTACTGACGTTTCGGACGTTAATCGGAGTAAAGATGCCAGTTACCCTTGAATCTATGCACTACACTGTTTATTAATTATACAAATGATATCATTATGAATTGTATTTTTGTTTCACAGGCTCCAATGCAACCAATACCACTCCAGCCCCAACCCCACCCCCAGGAGAAGGAGATTTTGTTRTTCCCTTGGATCTATCAATAGGAGTGACTATCTTAGCGTTGATCATCTTCTTTACTGCGCTGGTTGGTAATTCTATTGTGGTCTATATCGTCTTTACATGTAATCATATGAGGAACACAACTAATATCTTAATCGCAAACATGGCGATAGCGGACCTWTGGATTACCATTGACATCCCTTATGTCATAAAGTGGCTGTTTGTTGGTGATACCTGGTTTGGTGGTGGCTTTGGTAGTTTTATGTGTAAATTCTTTCACTCAGCCCAGGCAGGTTCCATCGCATGTTCCATCTTCACYTTGGTATGCGTGAGCCTGGACAGGAGTCTTGCTATCATATTCCCGATGAGAGTTATTTTGACCAARAAGATTGTCAAAGTTCTGATTGCTATCGTGTGGCTGCTAACGCTGGCTTTCCTCGTMCCTTTATTCACAGCAACTATTGTGCGCAAGAAAACAGATGGATCGTACGGATGTCTAGAGRATGGCTGGGTTGACATTAATGTTCTTTCARAGCAACATTACATTCAAACRTTCACATTCTGCACGTACGTATTACCGCTGACTRTCATCACCTCATTGTACGCCACGACTGGATTTCGATTRTGGAGCAGRAAAATCCCTGGAAATCGCAGYCTACGAGTCCACAAGAGAGTCCACTCCTCCAACAAGCGAGCAACMATCATGCTTGTCACGGTTGTGGTAGTGTTTGCAATTTGTTGGTTTCCTTTACAAGTTCTAGAATTCATTAGAGTGTACGATCTTGACATGATGAAAAGAATTCCTTTGAGATTGTATGTTGTAATGCCGTGGTTTGGATTTGCTAATTCYGCCATCAATCCCATTCTTTATGTCATTTTCTCAGAAAACTATCGACGCGAGTTCAAAAGGACATTCACCCGTAAGAGCCGTCGACGAAGTAGTACTTCGATGGTTAGTCGTGGCTTAACAATGCGAACAAGAATGTCTCTCTCGACGTCAGTCCCTCTACAGAAACTAAGGAAYGATAGTTTGATGCAAGGTGATTGCAATGGACTGGTACCAAGAGATGAAAGTCCAGGAAGAAAGAGCCAAAGTGAATATTCTCCAATAAAGAAAATTGTAGAAACTCCCGACTCCGCYGCAGATAATCTTTTTGGTTCGTCAGCGCAAAACGAGGATGAACATTGCCTGTCAGAAAACTAATAAAACAAATATTTATGAAGAGCTGATCATAAAAATACTTTCAATTGTAAATAAATGCGTTATTRCCATGACATGTTCATCTGTAATACAGTCGTTTGGAACTGATGAGAGGAATATCATCGACTRTGTCCATCTAGTTATCGGCCGGTTGTACGAATTGAATCTCAACTCCAGTACCTCAGAGCTAGTGAAAGACGTATTCGCAAAGTCCTGGGGCGATATAATATATTCTTCATAAAACTACAACAATGCAATATCCTTTGAGAAAATATAATTTAAAATTATAAATGAATTAAAACTTACATGTAACATAAGGTTTTGTACCTTCACATACAAAATAAGTTAACACGCAAAACCTGCATCATACAATTTGCGGTATTACAGTTAAAATCCATGTCAACATTTACCCAGTTTTTCTAGTGTTCGCAGCTGGAATGACTTTTTAATCGAATGAAAATTACGTCCTRTGATGTATAGTATAAAAAAAACATTGAGTACGTCTCCACAGGAAGCCCGTTCAATATCTCTTGTGTATAAATATAAGATAATAAGTATTTGTCGATCCTGCTTGAAATATACTAATTACACCGATAAAAAGTATTAAAAGTAAATCTGTAACTACAATCTCTATATATTTGTGTGTCGTTAGTACTTTGATCACCTCGTCAGTAATTGACAAGACACCGGCAAACTATAGCGTTCTTCCTGGTTAAGCCATGGCACTAGGATACATGATGGACTGGTACCAGGAAAAAAGGTCACTTTTACACTTTAATTTAGATAAATGTCATCTTTATAGCTTCTTGAAACTCCTCGACGGATCTAAAAATACTGACATTTAATAGTACAGTAAACCTGTTTGTAKTATAAGTATAGGTGAGGTACATTGACTAAATGAAGCACGTTATAATGCCATGCACATATAAATATTTTACTGCACGTAAACAGTTCTCAAATACGGACGATAGATGTTTATTCTGATCTGATCTGTAAAAAGCCATAATTTCATGGTATTATCAAACGAGGGATACTGTATATAAGAAAGATTTTACTGTTCGACGTTTGATTCTTGCTTTATAGTGACGTTATTAAACGAAAAGTTCATATCTTAGAGACATTTAAAATATGTCATTAAAGTACTTTTGTTTTCGACCAAATCATGAACAAACCATGAACCACCCACACTAGTTGTATCTTAGATATCTTGCAAGATTTCACCTTGATATTGGTTTCCTTGACAAATTAACAAATCAGATCACAAAAGAACCTTTTATTACAGAAATATAAAAAAGCATTTCACGTAGACACTCTCACAAATAAAAAAACTGAAAATCCGTGCTTATCACGTCAAGCGTGGAAAGACTATCGCTAAACTTTGTTTTGATTTTATCATTTGTAAGATGTTTCGTGGAAGTTTGTAAGTTGTTAAAACAAGATTATCTATTCATTTTTATGTTCTTTTGAAGACAGCAACAATCATGATCCCATCATAGCAACAATCACCACATATAGACATTAAAAGTTCTTGACGCGTGGTTTYCTCGCCCTGTCCCTTAAACCCGCAAACGGATCTGATATTGTCCCTACAATAAAAGTTGGTTTTGAGTAAAACATCCTTTATAAAGTCCTAAAGATTTGTCGTTTGTACCACCGTGAGATTGATGTTACTGTGGGAGACAGATTTGTAGTCAGTAAGCATGGAAGTTCGTCACACTTATGGTCGAACGAATACATAAGTTAGTGTCGATTGTAATTGGTTGTGGCACTAATCTAAGAGTGTTCAAGGCTCTTGTGTTTGAGAGGGTTYACAAGCACTTAACCACATGGTAAACGTGATTTACAAACTTTTAGTAAGAAACGGATTACCATCATTCACCAAAAATTATGGCTTTTCAATGTTTTGTGTAATAAATGTCGTTGATATTGTTCGTTTGCGACCTGCATGTCTCGCTTTTCCAAAAACTTGGTATATTTTCTAAAGGTTCAGGATCGYCGAACTGTAAATGACAATTGAAAGCAAAAGGAGATCTTCTAGAGTGTCATGGTGATATAAGAAAACCTTTACAATTCTTGACTGATTTCAGACCACATCCGGCCTTTTCCTGGATTTTTTTCAATTATGAACATTAAGACACTGGTTTTCACGGGGAGTTCTTTTAGAGTGGATACCAGTTGTCATTGATAATTCATTCAAAAGATTGAATGGAAGACATGTCCTTAAATGGCCGGGCTAAACCACACAAAGGCTTCTTTGTTCAACACAAACAATGCTTATCGTCTTGTTAACGTGGTTCTTATTCGAAACCAGAAAATAAACAMGCTTTACATCTTCTTCAAATAGAAATTAAAGTCAATATTTCAATATATTTAAGTTAATGATTGATTTTTACATGCAAATTGTACTGGGTTTGGTGGTTATAAAAACATCACTTTGTATATGGCATATTTACACCTTAGTAAAACATGCACGGAACAGACTTGTATTACAGATGTCTGCACCACCTGAAAAATCTTATAAAAAGATGTTTTAGAAAAGAAGAAAAGTAAGGCAAATTGCGAATGTAAAATTACAAAATTACAATTCCTGGAATCTACCTGGTAATGGTTAAGCAAATATTTTGCTACTGTTTTCAAATTGCCTTTTYTGACACGTAATATATTTTTCATATTGGTCAAAATTCTCAATTATTATGCTTGTAAAAAGTTCAGTAATAGGTTGAAAGGAGTAATGCGACAAAAAGAACCTTGAAGTGCCAAGGAAATGGAAAAACGCTTTTATTTTATTGATGTCCAACAAGAGTACAAATTGTGTGTCGTTATTAGTCAATATTGACTGGGATGGTTGTTTACTACATGGAGGATTTATCTTATTAAATTCGCTTGCCTTGAACAGACTTCAATTTGAGGCCATTGTTTGAACTGTTAGAATGCTATTGTCAACGAAAACTTACTTGATTTATTCCTCACTCCCACTTTGCATCTTTTAACAGCTTCTAATGACAAAATCTTTCTACTGAAAAATGCTTTCGTGGGAAGTTTGATAGGCCAGTAAACCTTGCTTTGTCTATTTTTGGTGAAGGCAAATACAGGGTAAAAATGCGTTTCAAAGACAAGGTCTTTGTTGTGAAAAGATTATTCACTTCTCACGGAAGGATTGGTTTGTCTTTCAAAAAGCCCTTTATTCACGACTACATACTGCAATATCGTTTAGAATGGAGACAATCCAATTTCCACTACAGTAACAACGATGAGAATGTTAATCTTTTCTTGTTAGCACTGACTATTTGTTTGACTTGATTCACAAACACTAATAAAAAAAACACAGGCTTCACAACTGACTACAACATGTGTCATAACATCAGAAAGTCCTGGCACGGAATATCACTCTTTTCCAAAACATATTACCAAAACAATTAGAGAATTTTCTCTCCTCGTTTATCTCAAGAAATTTCTCCCCCCTTGGAAGAGATTTTGACAAGTTTAAGTAGGAAATGACACGATGATTTGCTTTGAAGTGCTTCTCCTCTTGAGATTTTATGATGATTGTAATTGTACATCGTTTCCGTCGATTACTATGACATTAAACTCTAAATACACTAGAATACAACAACGAAAAGCACAAATCTGCACCATYAGATACTCGTATTCCTCGTCACTCTATTTACATCCATTTAAGCGCGCTTGTCTCGCGTACCTCCCTGCCGTGTGACATTAACCTTGTATACAATAGGCAAAGTCTTCATACAGTTTATATCCTATCTCTTGTCGCCATAATCTCTTTTTTCGTATTTCTTTTCTTCTACTAATTCTCTAAAAACGTTCAGATTTGATGGTTATCTCTTTTCTCGSGGGATTTTATCGACCTTAATTGGAATTGGTTTGGTGAGTATTTTCATTTTATTGTAATCATCAATAATGATGTTAATGAGAACTTGTTTTTCTCTTCGATTTTAACTTTCCTTGAAGAACAACTAAAAATTGAGTTGCGTACAGTAATTTTATTGTATTGGGGATGAGATCTAAACGAGAAACACCAAGTTTAAACAATCCTCTTRTGCAGAGGAAGCGAGTTTCTTATTTCCTTCCAAGAGTTGAGCATTCGCTTTGTCCTTTTAGTGTCAGTAATATATATTTTTTTGTTTATGGCTAGAAAAGGATGCAGTCCGTAGAACAGATGTTTTTGTAAGGCCTTTTCAACACTATTAATTAATTCGCTAGTAAACAAGGAGAAACTTTCCAATTAAGCAACAAAACTGTTCAACAATATCTCCTGATTAACGGGATATTCACTAAAACAATATCTCTCTTTACAAGCGTCTTTCTTCAGCGCATAGTCCAGGTAAGCGCGTGCGCAGTGAATGGCTGGAAGCCATTTGATTGGAAGTTAAGTAGCAGGTGCGTTGCACATTACATAGGTCGTTGAACAAACCCCCTTTTGGTGTTAACAGTCTTTGATGTTCTTTACTAGCACAAATATTTACTCGCATTAGTCAGTGGTCCCGCCAGCCAGGAACTATTATGCCTCGGGCGTTTCTTGTCAAGAAATCAAGTACACTATGCATTCCTATCGCCAGGGGATCACCAGGTATGTTCATATTTGTTCTTTTTTACTGCAAACATGCGCTGTTTGAACGATGCTTGTGGGAAATCACAGTGTAAAGAATATTGCTCGTGGTTTTACCCGCTTTTGACTCTCAAGTGGTGTAGTTATCGCCTCGTCATTCCCACCGTTTTCTCGGCGTGTAATCCTAATACAGCACTCTATACAGACCGCACTAAGTTGTTAAGATAATAAAATGTTTTCTTAAATGTTTCAACTAATGAATATGGGGCACCCGTGTGGGAGGATCGGATATACAATAATTGATTTCATGAATGTCATTGCCAACATTTCACTGTTTTAGACTCGTCCGCAAATGTAATGATGTCTAGTTTGACTGTAAATATTGACTTTTTCTCGGTGTTTCTTGAGTGTTGTATTTTAAAAAACTTGATGATATTCGAGCATCATTTACAGTTCACTGGTTCAATATATGGGATGTTGATTTTTCAAGATTCCTCTTCAGAAAGTACCCGAAATTACTCGCGATAGCGCACCGCTAACAAGTCGTCTGTAAATTCACAAAACGATGCAGTACTTTTCATACAAAATATAAAACTTCGAAATCGATTTCTAAAAGTTTTGTTTCATCAAATATGTCAGATCGTTATGTTAGAGAACGGTTTTGTTTTTGAATCTGAAAGTTCTGCCAAAGGATTTCGGATCTCGGCTGATTTTCTAGTAAAAAAAACAGCTGCTTTGTGACTGATGCCCTTATATGTCAATTATTAATCCTTTTCACTGAAATCCCTAAAAAYTGGTGAACAGGTACGTGCTATGTCAGGGTCACTTCGACTCTACGATAACCATCTTCTGGGTCAATTCACTTCAACAAGTCATTGAAATAGAAATAGAATACCATTTTATATYGTCAGAATCAAATGTCGAACTAAAATTAGAAAACAAATGATGATTTTCCTTTTTTGATAAGAAACATGTCTGGTGTTGAGATGAATTGGAATTAGAAAATGGTGGACATTAGTCAAAGTGAGACAAAAAGAGCGTGCCAATAGAACCTCCCTTTTTATCCTCAATGTAGAGTGGTAGTTTGTTTGTAACTGTTTAGCGAGAGGGTCGTTTGTTTGGGGAGTTTTTCTGTCCTTGAAGTATGGTTAGTGACTTTTGTTTAAACCTGGTGTACTGTACAGAGACAGATTGAAAGCACATGGCGTTGGYTCTCAAAACCATTCCTTGTGAAGCATTTGGTTCTCAAAACCCTCAAGAGSCTTTATCACCTAAATTAATATCCCTTTAAATTCAAAAGAAGACGATTTGTGTAAATAGTCGATAATAATCAAAGTATTTGAGATAAGAAAAGAAAAAAAGGCCTGAATGATAGGAGAACTAATTATCCACGCTCTCCCCGCCTCAAATACCAGTTAATTTAGCTCAACTTTGAACTTAGAAAAATATTTGGTTTTTAAGAACATAAAGAGAGCTTTGATACAGACAGTATATACCACAATCAGGGAATGATTATTAGATCTTAGTAGGAAGATAAAGACGTTATTCTGGTGAATATCTAATACTTCTGCCACTACGTTAATCTGGTTTAAACCAACTGCTAAAACAGAAATGATGAAGTGCCAAATATAACAAAAACCTATCCCTTTTTTTTTTATTTTGAAAACTTAAAAACACCAAGAATTACYACTCAGTGTTGATAATGTAAATATCCAAGCGTTGGAGAAGGATCAAAAGCATATATTTTGGACGTTTTCCTATCATAAAGTAAGCCTACATGCAAATATTTTGAAAAGAATTGTTGTGCTTGACACTATTTCAGACATCTGACGTTTGCGGTTGCACCATTTCACAAACATTCGCTTACATCTTTCTTTCCAAACAAAAAACTTCGTATCAATCTGGGCTGCCTGGACAAAAGTTACCAGAAATCATTGCGTACAATCTGGCATTTATATTGTACGTGGATACTTTGTCCTGATATGTACATCTTTGTACTTTAAAAAGCTGATTTGAAATCCCTGTTTTAGAAATGTAAAGGGTGAAAACCTACTAGTATGTACACGAGAATGTCTTAATATTTCATTGACTTCACCTTCTTAAATTTATACTAAAAAACACCATAGCAATCAACTTATTACATTTTTGTACTGTAATATTCACTACTACAAGTAAACGTTCCTCGCAGAGCGTCTGAATTTCTAGGCAAAAAGTGATTTCGCATTAAGTTTGGAAACCARAGCCAAATTCATCACATTTTGCAACTGTTGTAAAGTAAACAAACTATTTATCTGGCACGTTTTCCTGGTTGTGCACAGGTGGTTACAGCTCTGACTTTCACAAGGCGACAAAACCATCAACGGCCTTGTAAACAGAAAAAAAAAACAGCGTCTTCTATGCATTGAATGGTGTGCACGAATAAATACAGCATTTGAAATAAAATGTTATTGCTGTGTTCTAGTCTTCATTACTGAAAAAACAACAACCAGAAAAAGTCTTTTTATCCCAACTTGTGGCGAAAAATTCATATTTTGTGAGACAAATTTACAAAGAATCCACTTAGTGATCATAAAATATTCAAAATAAAAGGCTACTAAGGTGTGGCTTAATCATCCAGAAAAATACGTTTTTCAGTTTTGGACTTAATGGATGGACCACGACTAATGAGCCTGGTCTCCCCGCCTACTCATTCACCTTCAAACATTTAGAAAGCCCAACTCGCTAATTGTTTTGTTGTAAAATTCCTTATTTCTTTCATCAATTAAGAGAATTTAAGCGTTATTGATGAGTTAAGATTTCTGGAAAAACATTGCCAACTCGTAATGACTTTATTTGATATCACTAGAAATCAACGTTAGATAGGCATTTTCCAACTTTTTGCACTTTTAACGACAAAGGATTTTTTTCCATCTCAAGTAAAACTCTTAATTAGTAAAACTCGTCCAATTAGATTCAATATGTAGTTTTGTAGGTCTTACACTTTTTCTATTAATTCAGCCAAAACTGATTTTAACCCTAAGCTCGTCGCTTAGTTTTATCGATGATTTGACACTGTTTCCTAGTAGTGATTCGTTGGCATAAAGAGCGTTTCGTTACTTTTTGGTTAGAATTGTACATTCTATATAACGCTAACATGGTCTTTGTACTTGGCAAGCAGCCGAACATTGGATTGCTTACATCTCTTACAATCCAAGGCAAAGGTTGCCTTCAATCCTGTTCAAATACATGAAATAATCTTAGATGAGTTTTGCAATAATGTCATATTCTTTGTTTTGTGTTTATATAATCAGATAATAAAAACGTTCAAGACATGAAATATTTTATTCATCATCAAGTTTGATGTTGGTTAAGTTGAGTATCCCTTTACGAAGACTATGAATTACACATTTATTCGTTAGGGTATCTATACTCGGTTTTCAATGAGGAAGTCTGAATAGGTAGATCGTCCAGATAAAAAAGTGATTGATAAGTTGATGTCTGCGTACAATGACAATAAAATGTACTAAAATAAGTTTTTTTATCCGTCCATTCTGGCTSGCAACAATTGAAGGCGTTTCCTATAACCACGACCAAGTGTTATCAGCCGTACTTACAATAAAGTCATATGAATTTTTTAGTATCTTTTGAGTGATTTATATAAAAAGGTCGTTACATACAAGCTCGCAGGTTGTAACCAGCATAGATGGAGCRGAAAGACTTGGTCACCACTGAAGGACATAGTAAGTGGTTATCTCAAGAATTCATACTAAATATGTGTCTTTGTTGTTATTGACACAAGTAGAACGAAAATTTAACCAACTTAGTCTTAGGTTATTATAACCTTGGTCTCATCTCATTCAGTCCCTGATATTGAATAYTCATTATACATTTATCGTGGTTCTATGTTTGTTGCGTTATTTAACATGTAGTTCTTTGATAAAACAGTTTGATTTAAGTCTTACTCCGACATAAACACTGCTGTTTGTCAAACAACCTTTTCGAGACCGTTCGGCACCTCAGTAACCACATAAAATCATGACCTGGCTAAACTTAACATGAATATATWTGGCGTACTTAAAAACAAGCCGACACACATGCAGTCGTGACTGAAGTCATCAGAATAGAAATTGCCAACATATTGTGCAACCAATATTTGTGAGATTAATAAGTGGATTTGATACCTACTATGAAATAAATTAACAATAATTGTTTTTTATTACCTAAATGCATGTCATGTTGTAGAGGATATCAAACACTGATAATAGGCTTCGTCTATTACTACTAATTAGTATCTCATACCATTAAATACAATATAAACGAGCTAGTTATATGCACAGCCTAGCCAGTGTTCGCAATATTGTTGTTTTAATTCATACAGAACAACTAAGGCAAGCCATACTGTCTCAACAACTATCCCGAATGATATATTATATATTTAATGGAACAATTGATGTCTGGTCTTTTGAAAGGCACTTATCTTTAATATTCTTTTTGGAGATCACACGTTTAGGTAGATTGAACGCTTCTTTTCGTCTTGTTGTTACGACAAGTCCTTTTGTCGTTGATAGAAGAGGAAGGTAATCAAAATGAGATGCGTGTATGAATTGTTTAACTATTGGAAATAGAAGACAATTGAAACGCTCAGTTMAGTGTTAATGTTTTTACAAAAGTCACTAATTGACGTGACAAAGTTTTGCAGTTTTTTTCATTAGTGAGGCGCCGTGGTTCGTTAGAGGTATAATTGRAGTTTCCCGGAGACGCCCATTTTCAGCACTTAGATTTCTCCATTGTTGACGTTTTTTCTTTGCCTTTTTTCTCTCAGCGAAAAAAACAACACCCTCTCCAGATGGCCAAAAACAAAGCGAGTTACCATGGGAACCGTTGGACATGTCAGAGTACGAACATGGCCTGCAGACGGCAGAAACTGTGGAACTTGAGCTTGACTACCAGGGATGCAAAAACAGACACACCCCCTCCCCTGTTCGGGATATGCACCTAAGACCAAGTCCCATATTGAACGATGACAMATTTTCAAGCAAAGGCGAAGAACCAAAACGTCGTATTCCACGCTTCTACGCGCCATTGATGAAAAACAGAGATCACGAGTTTGACGATTACAGCGAAGAAGATGTCGAGAAACCATTTGAATGCCGTCATTGCATCATTTCTTTTTCTCGACTGAACGATCTTCAAGAGCACATGGAGCTGCATACCATGAAGACRCCCTTTAACAGTAACCAAGCTGACATGCGTACAACATTTTCTGAAAGTCTTATTGAAAATCAACTGAAAAGTAATCATTGCATAAGTCGGTCTCTGATTCGGCCGAGT